CAATTTGGGCCAATGGACTGGGATTTTGAAGGGATAATGTGACGTATTATATGGGATGATAACTCTTTCTAGATAGATCCCTAGTTTTCTGTCTGGTCCCTTCCATAGATTCTTCTTTGAAAAGCGTATGTGGATTTTAAATCCTATGAAACATTTCCCCTCACACCATACATTTAAAATGGTAATCCATCAGCACAAAATGCTATTTCAAAAGTGACTTTAGACAGACCTTTGTAGCAGCATACTGGCTATGTTTGGAGATCACACCAGATCATAGTTTGCTGCTGTGTGGATGAACCTTGGCCTCATGTACTTTCTCTTCCCCCACTCCCTCTCCCAGAATGGCCAATATGAAATTGGAAGCATAGTTAGTTTTAATGGCAGTTGCTGGTTTCAGTGAAAGTACAAAATGCCAATAAGTAGTTGAAAATCAAGATAATAATAATAATAATTTATTATTTATACCCTGCCCATCTGGCTGAGTTTCCCCAGCCACTCTGGGCAGCTCCCAATCAAGTGTTAAAAACAGTACAGCATTAAATATTAAAAACTTCCCTGAACAGGGCTGCCTTCAGATGTCTTTTAAAGATAGGATAGCTGCTTATTTCCTTCACATCTGAAGGGAGGGTGTTCCACAGGGCGGGCGCCACTACCGAGAAGGCCCTCTGCCTGGTTCCCTGTAACCTCACTTCTCGCAATGAGGGAACTGCCAGAAGGCCCTCGGCACTGGATCTCAGTGTCCGGGCTGAACGATGGGGGTGGAGGCGCGCCTTCAGGTATACTGGACCGAGGCCGTTTAGGGCTTTAAAGGTCAGCACCAACACTTTGAATTGTGCTCGGAAACGTACTGGGAGCTAATGCAGATCTCTCAGAACCGGTGTTATGTGGTCCCGGCGGCCACTCCCAGTCTAGCTGCCGCATTCTGGATTAATTGCAGTTTCTGGGTCACCTTCAAAGGTAGCCCCACGTAGAGCGCGTTGCAGTAGTCCAAGCGGGAGATAACTAGTGCATGCACCACTCTGTCATGCAGATGTGTTCAAACTCTTGTAGAGGAGAGTGTTACATCTGAACCAGGTCACAGTGTTGAGTGTCAGACTATGAACTTCACGACCACACGTCAGAAAGTCATGGTCACTGCATTTAATTCATTGGGTGACATCCCGAAAACTTTAATGCAGTTTTATCGAATTTGTCAAGTTAGAAAACAAATTGTCAATATAGCACTAAAACAAATGCATACTCAACTATTCCAAGCAGTTTTGGAATCTGCCCTCGTAGTTTGTGCCAAACACTCTTTAAATTAAATTGGCTTACGTTGGGAATAAATCAGGTCATGTGTACACAAAGGAGACAAGCTTTTTACTATTTTAAATGTACTCTTGACGCATTTTGGTTATAAAGGGGATAACTAAACCAAAACTGTGATCTTCCACCTGTGGAAAAATTGCTGGCTGCCCTCAACACACTTTTTCGCATGAACGGTTAATACCATATGGCTACTTGATAGAAACTTAGAAGACTCAGTTATCATGTGGTAATGTCTAGTGGCTTCAATGAAAATTAATTATAGTTGTGCACCTAAGCAGGCACACATTCCTCTCAAGACTCATGATACGATGCCATGTATTGATTCCTAGCCAAGTCATTAATAATCAACAAACTGAAAGAGTTTTTCCAGTGACGCTAGGGAGTTAGTGGTCCTGCTCCAGCAAGTCATGTTGCACTTGTACATGAACTTGTTTTTGTGCATCAGCTTTATACAGACATACCTCATGTTACGTTTGCTTCATGTTACGTTATTTCAGGTTACGCCCCGCAGTGACCCGAAAGTACCGGAAAGGGTTACTTCCGGGTTTCGCTGCTCGTGAATGCGCACAAGCGCTAAATCGCGCTTCACGCATGTGCACAAGTGCCAAATCGCACCGCACACCTGCACAGATACGGCGCTTCAGGTTGCGCTCTTTTCATGTTGTGAACGGGCCTCCGGAACGGATCCCGTTCGCAATCAGAGGTACCACTGTACACAACTTGAACTTTTCTGCTTCACAAGATAAACCACGCCTGTTACACACACAGGAAACTGTTGAGGAAAATACTGCAAATGGCTCTGTTGTGCACATGGACCTTGCTGCATACGTCTTTTAGAAAAGCCCCAGTATACTTATGTGTAACCCATTAGATGTGCTTTTGTGGTACCTCGACAAGTAGGAAGAATGAAAGTACACAGTGATCATAGTTCATGATGCTGTACACGATTTATTCCACATGGGCATAACCATGAGAAATCTAGAAGATTAACAGATATAGCAGTATTATTTAATTTCCGTCTCATCCTTCAATCCCCAAAGGAAACCCCTCAAAGCAGTTCACAGAAACGTAAGTACAATCAAAACAGTCAACCTGATTTAAATATGCATATTATGTGACTAACGCTATTGTTTATTGTCAGATTGCTTGGGTTTGCTACAGCCAAAGCACATTTTGGATACTAGTCCTGAGCTTCCCGTTTCCAAAGCTCTTATCTTTAGGTCTTGGTCGTGAGCCTGAGGACTGATACATCATTGTTTCTTTTGATTTATAAGCACCTGCTATAATATAGGTGACTTAATAATAAATCATGTTTACGGGTCGCAAGGAAACACGGGTCCCAGCCACAACTCACTCTCGAATAGCCTTGTGATATTTATTAGTGCTACTCTGGCAAAACCAGCTTCAGAAAAACCAGGCATTGTTTTTCTTCCATTCTAGTTTAACAGCTAGAACAGATGAGCAGAAGCCTATGTGATGTATTTGTTCCCAGGGAGAAGTCTGCATACAGATGTAGAGCAGGGATAGTTTGAAGGCAGGATGACTGTTTATTCAGATGAAAGAAAGGCAACATGTACAGTGGTGAAAGGACGAGTTACAAAAAGAAAGCTGCAAAGAAAAGAATAAGTACTACTGGCTCTGGATGTTTTTCTGTCTCTAGCAGTAGCAAAGCTGTACAAATATATTTTAAAAAATAATTGTGCACAAGATAAAGAACTAATTTACACTGTACACGCCTTCATTTTGTATAAACATATCAACACTTTCACTTTGTATGCACACTGCATTTTTAGCTTATAATATTTAAATACATACAGTATTATGCCTCTCAGTTAAGGTGCAATTTATCAAAATGTATGCTAGATGTGATTTTGTTTGTTTGTTTCGGTTGTCTTTGGCACATATCCTGTCTTATTTACTGAATACAAAAGTGTAAGACCGAGTTTGTCTAATGCTACAGAAATTTTTATTTTTCTTGATAGCAATTAAGTGCATATTTTTCGGTTTAACACAAGCTTATTTACAAAAAAAGAAAAGAAAAGGTATTCTCTCTTAATTTTAGTCTGTGTTTCAAGTCAGGTAGCCAACAAAGGATGTGCACTCAAAATAGTTTATACTTTGCAATAATTTTCATTGCAGGAAAAAGTGCACCATTAAAATACCTGGTATAAGTATTAGATAAAATGTTTAACATTATGGAATGGTTTGATAAAAAAGCCACGCCCATGTAGCTGATATGAAAATATGTCTCCGTTATGCTACGAACACTTGTAAAATGCTAATATTTGTTCTTCACCATTTGAGGGCTGCTTTAAAGTTTGGGTTTTTATTGTCATGAGGCCTATGATATTGGCCATTGCAAGCTTTCAGATTAAATTATAGAACGAAAGTAAGAAGCAGGAAACTGACACTCAGCTAACCACTAGCAATTATTCAGTGGGTATATTCTTGAAAGCATGAAATGTCGACAAGCTATGTCATGAATAGCTATGCGGTTTATTTTTATCTGTTTTCCCTGGAGCTGATAAATACTGGTAGCTCTGAAGTTACTTCTTGCCACTTCCAAAAGAGGACTAATAAATGATGAAAGCTAAATTATGAGAGTTTCAAATTACAGCAAAGCTGTTATGATTGACTTAGCATTTGAAGTCCAGATATGTTCTTGCTATAAATTATGGTGTAAAAGAAAACATGAAAATGAAAGCTCTTTTGTAGTAATTTCCAATTTCCATACTATATAGTTTATTTTTTAAAAAATATACACATACTTTTTAAAAGTTCACACGTACTGAAGGACCAGTCTCATCTCCTTTCTCTAACAGTTAATTAGCTACCAGAATGAACATTTGGCACAGTGCTGATTTGCAGAGAAATGTCAGAGATGGAATTTCAAATAAGAATTCCTTTAAAAGTTATTTTTAAAAGAAGAGTCTTCCTTTTTGAAAAACAAAAAGGAATTTCATGTGCAGAGTAGAGGAATGGGAACATCGCACTATGCTTCAGATATAAACCATATCCTTTGGTTTATTATCCCAACTTATCAGCATGATCGTTGCAAGCAGATACCTAGAATTCTCAAGAGATGGCTCTTTAAAAGAAAATACGTATTTGTGCAACTGGGATCAATCTGCCCTCAATGATCAGATGTTTCAAAAACAAAGAGCTGAGGAAAATCTGGAGCCTCTCTTTCAAAGCAACACACTTATCCTTTCGGTTTGCTAAATGATTTCATGCATGGTGATGTTCTTCAGAGTGCCGACACAGGTAAGACTGTGGCCTGTTTCAGTGTAGGGCCTCAGCTGTGTAGGGTTCCCTGACGTTGTGTATTTGTCAGGGAAAATATCTATGCTGAGAATACACCTATCACTGAGGCTCCTGAAGAAATCAACACAACATGTTGGCCATCCCATTGTGATATGGCCACGTTCTCAGCTGTGGGCAAAATTTAAATCTCCTTATAGCCTGCACAAAAAAAGGAGCCGGGCGATTGTGCTCTCTGTCTTGTGGCAGATCTGAGAAGGGGAGTTTTGTGAGACAGGATGTGTGTCTTCCTGTTTGCCTGTATGAATATAGGCAAAGAAGAAAAAATACAGCATGTGGGGTCTGAAGTGAGAGGGGCCCAGAATATGGCTCAACATAGGGCCTTCCCATGTCCTTTAATCCAGTGTGGCTCCCTTGTCAGTCAATTTCATTCAGAACTGTGATGTCTGGGTGAATGATATGGTGTCTGATTTATCAATAGCAAAAGCTCCATTCACATAAGATTTCTTGGCCTCTGTTTCCTCACTGTCATCCTTCGTTGCTTTGTCCAGGGCAAAAGGGTTCACTATGTTGACTTCAGCACCAACGTCCATAAGCTCCAGTTCCTTTTGCGAGAGCTTCTCCACAATTCCAGCGCCAAAGGCATCACCGAGGACATTCACCATTGTTCTGAATCTATCCCTATGGAATAAACATTTTGGGTCAGTCTGGGCAAGTTGACTGGGTCCAATCTATTTTTACAAAGGCAAAAGTTATACTGCTTCTGCAAAGTGTTTCAGTTCGCAAGGCTGATTTTGTAACGAATGGCACAGTTCCAGAACTCAAACAAAATGTGGGAAAGATCACATTCGAAAGCTCAGTTTTTTTAAAAAAATATGAACTTTAAGCTCCATGGGACGAATGTTAACATTTGCGTTTCAAAAATTCAACGTGAACTTTAAGTTCAGAGTGAACTGAGTTTTCAAGTGGATCCCAGCAATTGGAAATTGTAGTCCCAAAACAGCTGGAGGGCCAAGCTTGGTCATCACTGACATAGCCCAAGATCAGAGATGGTGGAAGTTGTGGATCCATCACAGGTTCCTCACCCTTTCTCTACATTTTCAAATTTGTTCAGCTTTGAACCCTCTAAACCACACATTGGGCGGATGGATAAGTAATCCCCCCAGCAGGGCTGCAATTTGTATGTCACACGTTTTGATACAAATAATAAGATGTACAGCAGATCTGCTCTCAAGTTAATGGCCTATCACAGGCAACCTTTTATTATGGATACAGTGGTACCTCAGGTTACAGACGCTTCAGGTTACAGACACTTCAGGTTATAGACTCTGCTAACCCAGAAATAGTACCTTAGGTTAAGAACTTTGCTTCAGGATGAGAACAGAAATCGCACGGCGAGGGCGCGGCGGCAGCAGGAGGCCCCATTAGCTAAAATGGCGCTTCAGGTTAAGAACAGTTTCAGGTTAAGAACGGACCTCCAGAACGAATTAAGTTCTTAACCCGAGGTACCACTGTACCTGCATTACTGAGGACACAGGATTGAGAGACATTCATGGTTAGACACTTACAGAAGCCAGTCCACTGCTATTATGAGGGTCACATCTTCAGCAGGCAGTCCGACGGCACTCAGGACAATCACCATGGTAACTAGTCCAGCCTGGGGCACACCTGCAGCTCCGATGCTGGCTGCTGTTGCTGTGACGCTACATCCCAAACCAAGAAAAGGGCATTAGATATGTTTCTGCTTCATTCAGTCTTGTGCAGTTATGGAAACACTTCTTGAAGTTTTTAAACCAGAGTTGTTATTTTAAAAAATATTCCCTACTGTCCTAAAAAATGCTGACTTTATGGGAAACTCCAACTGCTGAATGATTGTAAATTCAAGAAATAATCTAAAGGGATTTCTAAGGGATATACCAGTTGAGGTTTTTTTTTATTGATCTGTGTCTTTTCTTGCATCATAGAACACTGCAGCCATTTTAGGTTTTAGTAGCGGTGGTGTCAAGAGGGAAGATATTTTAGTTGTCTTGGAGGAGGTGGGACAACATTCACAACAAGGTTTTAAAACAGTGCATTTTATATTGCTATGAGGTGTTGTTTTGGGCGGGGTGTGTGCTCTAAATCTCCTCGAAATTCTTGGGTCTAAAAGTTAGAATTAATCCATGCTTGGAGGGTTAAACTGAAAACCAGACTTTAAATAGCTGGACTCAGTTTTCCCCATTCAGGAAACCACCTGGAAGAGGAAACATCAAGGGGAAGAAAGCTAGTAAGGACTGAGTCATTTACCCAGAAAGTCATTGGGAGGGCGAAGACTATTATGATTTATTCAGTTTATATACTGCCCCTTGCCAAAAGATCCCAGGGCGGTGTATAACATTAAAAACACATTACAGAACGTTAATGATAAAAACATAGTGAAAACATAGTAAAAAGCATAGTGACAAGACAGCCGAATAATAAAGTAATAATTCAGAGGAATATGGACCCCTCCTCCAGCTGTGTGTTAGTGGGCAGAGACAAAAAGGGTTTAAGGGATGTAGGGTTTCAGTTTGGATGATGTAAGCAAGGGAAATCATTTGGAAAACTATGTGGGCTGGCTGGGACAGGCAGAGAGCTTGGCTGATTTCTCTGTTCTGAGACTTAAGCCTCTTCTGCTTATTGGAGAAGCAAGAGACCCTCTTGGGATGAAAAATGCTCTGAACTTTCTCCAGGTTGTATTTACGTGTAAATAAACCATATATCATAAAGGTGCCATAGTCTCCACTGTCCAAAAGGAAACACAGACCCTTGGAAGCACGCTTGGTACCCCTGGAATCTTAAACTGCCTGGAGACAGGAGTGGTGTGTAACAAAAGGCAAAGGACCCCTGGACAGTTTAGTCTAGTCAAAGGCGACTATGGGGTGTGGCGCTCATCTTGCTTTCAGGCCAAGGGAGCTGGCGTTTCTCCACAGGCAGCTTTCCGGGTCACGTGGCCAGCTTGACTAAACTGCTACTGGCGCAACGGGACACCATGACGGAAACTAGAGCGCATGGAAATGCCGTTTACCTTCCCACCACAGTGGTACCTATTTATCTACTTGCACTGGCGTGCTTTCGAACTGCAAGGTTGGCTGGAGCTGGGACAGGGCAGCGGGAGCTCACTCTGTCACGCGGATTCAAACCACCGACCTTCCGACTGGCAAGCCCAAGAGACTCAGCGGTTTAGACCACAGTGCCAACCGCGTCCCTTGCTGTGTAACAATATCTACTGTGTAATAGGTATGCTCATCTGTAAATCCACAGAACACAGGGCTACGGCTGAAAAAAGTCAGAATTAGACTGCTCAGTTCATCCCTAAAGCACGAGTCAAATGCCAGTATCTGTGGGTATATCAGAAAATCCGGTCTTTGTTCAGTTCCACAGCTGATTTATCCCTTCACTGGGATGACCAATCTCACTGTTCTCTACACGTTTTCAGTGAGACGTCAGATCATGTTGTGGTTGGCCCACCTTTGTGTGCATTAAGCATTCTGGATAACAAAGTCAGCAGTTACATTGCTTGGGAAAGAAGAACTGAAAAGCATGCAAGAGTACAATTCTTACCTAATGGTCACTATTTGCCCAATATCTAGTTCTAAGTCATTAAGTTGTGAAATAAAAACAGCAGCCACTGCTTCATAAAGGGCGGTACCATCCATGTTGATTGTAGCGCCTACCGGTAAAACAAATCGGGTAATTCTCTTGTCAACATGGTTTTTTTCTTCTGCACAGCGAAAGGTGACAGGTAAAGTGGCTGAACTGGATCACACACATTTGGGGGGGGGAGGGGAGAAAATAAAGAAAAGACTTTAAGAAGCATAGTAGTAAAATGCCAATGTGCATGGCTGTTAATCTGGCATGAGACAACTTATGGGGCTACTGGAAATTAAGATGAAGACTTTAATGCGGCAAAACAGAGGGCAGCTTTAATCATTTCTAAATTCATTTCTATTAACTCCAAGATGATTCGATATGAAGAGAAGATTTTTTTTTCCAAAATTATGCTTACCTTGAGGAAATCATGAGTGCTGTCAAAAGTGCTTGAGCCATCCCCATGGCAAATTTATACGGGTTTTTCCGGACTATTATTAAGTACATGAGCGGCAGAATTACAATACTATGAATTGCAAGCCTGGGGGAAAAAAGGGAGAGGGGAAATCACAGAATCATAGAACTGTAAAGTTGGAAGGATCCCACCTAGTCCAGCCCACTTGCAATGCAGAAATCACAGCTCAATTTTTGAAATTTAGTTCTGTTTTTAAAACTGTTCAAATTAATATGAAAGCCACTTCCGCCTTAAGGAGGAGGTGGGGTTGCGGGCTCTCACGGCCCCTCCACTTGCACAGGGGGAGGTGAGTCCCACTGAGTTATCGTCCTTCATTGTGGCCCATCGAGCTTTTCTGTCCATATTGGCAATAGATCTCTAGACGTTCAGGCAACAGGTAACTCTCCCTTTCCCCACACACCCATAGGTGCATGCAAAACAGTGCCCACTATGGCCCTGATCCCAAGGTGCTGCTTCCTAACATGCATGGAAGCATACTTCCTCCTCGTATCCCCCCTTTTTTACCTTTCAGATATTACCTGACAATAAAGCATTAGGGAAGTGCTGTCAACGGGTTCCAAAACCTACCAGAAGCATAGCAAGCTAGCCAAGCTATTGCAGTTTTTGACTTGGAAAATTGGCCCAACAATATCTCATATATGTGACATACTTGTATATTTTGTTTGATATTGTTATATATTTGATGTATGATCTACTCATATGCATCAAGGTGTGACATATTGGGAAATTGTGTACACTTGAAAACGCCGGTAGCATAAAGATAAATCAACAGTGTAAATAAGTTTTGATGGGTGTAATAATGGAATACTGGATGGTTTAGTTCAGGGGTCAGCAAACATTTTCAGCAGGGGGCCAGTTTGCTGTCCCTCACCTTGTGGGGGGCCTGACTATATTTTTTTTTTGGGGGGGGGAATGACAAATTCCTATGCTCCACAAATAACCCAAAGATGCATTTTAAATAAAAGCACACATTCTACTCATGTAAAAACACCAGGCAGGCCCCACAAAAAACCCAGAGATGCATTTTAAATAAAAGGACACATTCTACTCATGTAAAAACACGCTGACTCCGGGACCATCCGCAGGCCAGATTTAGAGGGCGATTGGGCCGGATCCAGCCGCCGGGCCTTAGTTTGCCTACCCATGGTTTAGTTTATGTAAAATATGCGGGGATTTATGTTATGCAAAATGAACCCAAGGAAAGAGAAAATGGAAGTCACTGATATTTTAAGGTTGTTTAAATGAATATTCTAAAATGTAAAACAGAAAATTTAATAAAAATTATGGGGGGAGGAGAGAATTCAAATCTCACATTGGCCACCATACTCCTTAGGTGACCACAGAATCAAAGTATGAGTTCCATTTATATGCATGTAACTCAGCTTGGAACTCTGTGCCTCCCCTCCCCCCCCCAGTAGCGTAGCATGGGTTGTCAGCACCCGGGGCAAGGGAAGTAATTTGCGCCCCCTAACCCGTGGATTTGCGCCCCCTAACCTGTGGATTTGCGCCCCCTAACCCTAACCCCCAGATGTTGCGCCCGGTGCGGCCGCCCCCCCCGCACCCCCACGCTACGCCACTGCTCCCCCCCACCTCATGTGGCCTCCCCCCCCCCCATTATATTGCCTGGGAGCTGACAATTGAAATAAAAAGAATGCGTTTCTAATTCAATGTCATTCTGAAGCACAGTGAAATTAGAACGTCTATAAAACGAATGTCCCCTCATACCCAGTTACAGAAGAAACCGATCTATCATATATAAATTAAAAATGAAAAGTAAATCAGTACTTTTTATTACAGTTCAAGGAATAACATACCCACTTAGAACAGTAGCCATGTAAAGACCCAGTTTGCGAAAAATCTCCCAGTCTTCAACTTCTATTATCTTTCCGGCAATCAAAAAAATAATACCCAATGGCATATACCTGGAATGCACAAAACGTCATAGAAAGTATTCCATGATCTCTGTTATTTCATTGAGCTCGCTATAAAAACACACTAAACAACGAAGTTGTTCAACTTCATGCATATAACAATGAACAGAAAACAAGTGGCTGAAATTATTTGCTTCTCAAGTTGTATTTATGAACGATTACATATTTTTAGGTGGTGTAAAAAAAAAAAAAAAGACATTAGCACGACTGGTACATTTTATGAACACCATAATTTGAGCTATTATGCAAAACATTATGCAAAACATGAAGTCATAGAATCATAGAGTCCAACCCCCTGTTTTGCAGGAATCTCAGCTAAATTATCCATGAGTCAATCAACATTGGACAGCTAAGAAAGGGAGTACTGTATTGTGTAGCTGGAATACCTTTGGAAAACAAAATAAAAGCCCCCGTATAGAAGTGATCTTTCTTTCTTTCTTTCTTTCTTTCTTTCAGAAATTTAATTCTAGATTGCTTCTAAGGGAGTGCATTTTCTCAACTGCACTCCATTGCTTTTTCGAAAAATAATAATTTTTAATTTTGCAAATAGCAATAGAATGCAGAACAAAAATAACAGAAGAAACAGTCACAGGTTTCATATGTGTCACTGTTACAGTATAGGGTTAGAAAGAAGTGGTAAACACTGAAATCAGGCAAGCAATAAGTAAAGCAGCTATTTACTATTATAGCCCATCCAAAAACCATCATTGGTAGTTGGAGGTCATGATAAGGTTACCAGATTTTTTTTCAATAAATCCAGGGATATGTATCAACCTCAATGGATTTTGTATGGGGACTGATTTGTAAATCTGGAAACTGTCCCTGGGAAACGGGGGCGTCTGGTAACCTTAGAAGCTTAGAAGAGATGTATTTTTGAAAGTTAGGAGCAGAAACCATGTTGTGTCATAGCTTTGGCAACAAGGGTTCAATTATACGAATACCAAAAATGCCGTCCCCAACCGCCAGCGATTCTGTAACTTTGATAGCTGAATAAATAGCCTCTTTCGGGGGAGGGGGAAGAGGAAAAGCGAAAGAGGTGGGGAGGGAGAAAGAGCTTTCACAGCCAAATGCGTAATATTTTAAAACTCAAGGAATAAACCTGTTAATCACGTCGACTTTCTGAAAGAAGTTTTATGTAAATTACTTTTTTATTATTATCATCATCCTGAATTCAATAACTGTCAGGGAACTGCCATCGGCTCAGGGGCGAGAGGGGAAAAGCCGGATGGATTACAGAGAGCCCCCAAAGATCGTGGGAAGCAGCACCTCCTCAGCGGAGGAAGGAAGCCACGCCTCTAGTGGGGAGGAGGCGCAGGGCTCGGAGGATGCAAGGCGGTGCCAGGACACCTTGTCTGAGCAAAGTGGGGAGGAGGGAGGTCCCCCGTTACCCACGCCCTCCTTGCGCAGTAGGCTTCCGCGCAGAGAGGGGAAGCGCAGACTGGGCGTCAAGAAACTACTCTGCTGGGGAAGGTTTAAGGACCGCCGACTCTCAGATTCTGCCAGTGAATGAGCCAGCCACAGAATAGTGGTGGTCTGCATGGTGAAGGTTTTTTTGGCACCAATAACAAGGCTTTACAACAGACCAGGGAGGCATTTGCCTGATTGCTCTCAAGCAACCCCCTGATACCATTACAGTAACAAAACTTACGGGCAAGATATCATTCTACTTACCACATTATTATCTGAACTATGTACATTGTGGCATCGTTCAGTGCATTGAAGAAGTCCATCAGCACCTTCCCCTTTTCTCCCATTTTCCCAATAACAATTCCGAAGACAAGGCAAAAGACTATCAGGCCAAGAACGTTAATACCATCGGAATACAAACCCACTATTTTGTATTCCTTGGTTATATTCTGCAGATTGAGAGTGAAGGAGAAAAGTTACCAATCAGCAACAATGCCAAGAGGCTGATATTGATGAACTGGGAGAATAAAGATACAATTCCCTTTAATAAATGGATCGTCAATATGATAACACTCGCAAATTATGAACACTTTACAGATGTAGACTTTGGTTGCATAAATATGACAATACAGTCATACCTTGGAAGTCGAACAGCCTAGTTCTCGAACGTTTTGGCTCCGAACATCACAAACCCGGAAGTGACTGTTCTGATTTATGAACTATTTTTGGAAGCCGAACATCTGACGGGGCTTCCAATTGGCTGTAGGAGCTTCCTGCAACCAATCAGAAGCTGCGCTTTGGTTTTCGAACGTTTTGGAACTTGAACGGACTTCCCGAACGGATTCCATTTGACTTCCAAGGCACGGCTGTATTTGAAATGAGTCTAGACAAAATGTAGTGAGCTATTAATATTCCCATATGTATTAGGATAATAATATCAGATTTATAAAAGAATGTATGGGTTCGGGTATTTTTCATATATATTCGTATATTGTGGGTTTCCCCCCTACATATTTTTGTGCCTTTTTATTTCTCTTTTTCTTTGCATCACTTTATTTCTTTAAACTGAAATCTTTTCAATAAAATATGAATACCAACAACACATTTTGTTTATGTGAAACTTAAGCAGCTTTCTCATTCAGGAAACTCTAGAAACTTAAGCCTGTTTGGTGTTTATTGGTTAGTAAAGGTAAAGGGACCCCTGACCATTAGGTCCAGTCATGGCTGACTCTGGGGTTGCGGCGCTCATCTCACTTCATTGGCCGAGGGAGCTGGCATACAGCTTCTGGGTCATGTGGCCAGCATGACTAAGCCGCTTCTGGCGAACCAGAGCAGCGCACAGAAATGCCATTTATCTTCCCGCCGGAGCAGTACCTATTTATCTACTTGCACTTTGACATGCTTTTGAACTGCTAGGTTGGCAGGAGCAGGGACCGAACAACGGGAGCTCACCCTGTCGCGGGGATTCGAACTGCCGACCTTCTGATCTGCAAGTCCTAGGCTCTGTGGTTTAACCCACAGTGCCACCTGCGTCCCATTTATTGATTAGTTTGCTACTTTTTTCCCTTGGGTTATAGCAGGCATAGGCAACCTTCGGCCCTCCAGATGTTTTGGACTACAATTCCCATCATCCCTGACCACTGGTCCTATTAGCTAGGGATCATGCCTATGCCTGGGTTATAGTTTTGAAAGTATTGGTTTGTGTAGTGCTACTAAAAGGCTGCATGCGGAGCCTCTGGAGAACAAATTATCTTAAAGAATTCGACCACAAGCTTGGGTCTTTTAACAGTGTGGTCCAGTAGACCCTTTTCAATTCCTGTTATTGATTATCACATTAACAAGCAGAATTTTACTACCCTAACCCTTTCGTCATAATTTCAATAGTTTCAGTGCAATACAACAACCAGTAGTAATCATACCTTTGAAATCTCTGTTGGCAGTACAGTAGAGAGTGGGTCTGGTGTAGGAATAGTTGCATTTTTGTCTACTTCCGTTGTGATCGTTATTTCTACACGCTTGGTCTTATACTGAAAGTTAAGAAAACATACATTACATTCTTAGGATATAATGGATTGACAAGGAAACTATTTTTTAAACTTCTTTTCAGGGTGGAAGGTGTTTAGTAAGGCCTAGAATGCTGATATATACTATTTATGGTTTTAACATGTCAACAACAACTGACGTGCAGATGCATTATAATGTGTACATAGATAGAAATACCTAATATGATATTAGGAAATCATCATGAAGGGTTATGTTAGAACAAGAGCCAACATTGTATGGAATAAATGATTTAGTTTTCTTTATACCTACTGTACGGAAGTTAGCAAAAGGACAACGAAAATGGATTTTACGCTCTCTAATGGTAGCCAAGAGGCTGATACTGATGAACTGGAAGAATAAAGATATGATCTCCTTTAATCAGTGGATTGATAATATGATAACACTTGCAACCGGCGAACGGACTGCTTACAGACATAGACTCTGCTTGGATAAATACGACAATATTTGGAATGAATTTATACAAAATGCTGCAGACTATTAATATTTCTATCAGTATTAGGATAACAATATCAAATTTATAAAAGCATGTATGGGTTAGGGTATTTTTTGTACATCTGCATATAGTTTTTCCGCCTTTACACAGTTCTGTGTTTTGTTCTTTTTCCTTTCTCCTTCTTTTTGTATCTACTGCATTATATCTGAATTTTTTTCAATAAAATATCTAAATAATAATAATAATAATAACGAGTTTGTTTGATGAAGTATTTGTTTAATGCAGGGTTTCCGAACTTGGGTCTCCACCTGTTTTTTTTGGACTACAGTTCCCATCATCCCTGACCACTGGTCCTGCTACCTAGGGATAATGGGAGTTGTAGTCCTAAAACAGCTGGAGACCAAAGTTTGGGAAACTCTGGTTTCATGTTTCTCTTTTGGGGTTCATTGTATTTCACAAGGCTAGTTGCCTGTGTGAAACAGAGCAGAGGCAACTCCCCATTTACACAGGGGTTGTGTTCTGAGGCACCGCACGCATTGGCGGGACACACACAAGCCCGTGTGCCAAAAAAACAGCAGTGGTTGCGAGCATGCTGATTGCAAGCAAATGGGGAGTTGCCTGTGTAAATAACGACGTCAAAGCACTGGTTGGTGGGGTGGTGTTGCTCACCTGGCTCCCTGACCCTGAGTATCCCTGCTGCTTACCAAGAGAGAGAGGCAGAAGGGCAAGGTGCAGGAAGCTCAGCAAAGCCAATCTGATGCTCCTGTGCTGAGCTCCTCGCTCGTTGCTCCTCCCCATCCACCTCTTGGTAACCAGCAGCAACGCTTGCTGTTGGGAAGTCCTGCCTTCCCTGCCCTGCCAACTGCTGTTGTGTAAGACGATAAGTGTGAGACTGTTCCAGAAAACTTTGCCAAGGGAATTAAGAGTGTTGGGAGAGGGACAGTTAAGAGGACACAACATCCTCACCGAAGAGCCACACCTGAGCCAGGGCCATGTCCTCGTGTTGGTTTATTTCTACATTCCTTATTCCTTCTACCTAACGCTTCTCCTCCTTCACCGCAAGTGCAAGCAATCAGAGAACCATAAAATTCCCTCTGATTCCTCACTTTCTTTTTCTGAGCTATAAAGATGACGCCTTGCGGGCCGATCCCAGTGCTGAGGAAGTTGCAGCCACGAAATATTTCTGCACCACTAGAAAAAGGGAACCACTTGATCTATTAAGGCCTTTGGTTTTGTATCTTAATGTCGCCCTGGAATGCAAGCTTTATATGTTGCTTTGGTTCTGAAAATTGTTGTCTAATGCGTTAGTAATTGGAAAGGAAACCCTAATTTTTCCTTGATGTTTTCATTAGGTTTGTGTTTTTTTGCACCCAAAATATCACAGTATCCTACAGTATAAGCACCACAATGTTGTTTTATGGAGGTGGAGAAATAAATGCAGAGTAAGGTAAAGGTAAAGAGACCCCTGACCATTAGGTCCAGTTGTGGCCGACTCTGGGGTTGCGGCGCTCATCTCGCTTTACTGGCTGAGGGAGTCGGTGTACAGCTTCCAGGTTGTGTGGCCAGCATGACTAAGCCACTTCTGGTGAACCAGAGCAGTGCATGGAAACGCCGTTTACCTTCCCGCCAGAGACCTATTTATCTACTTGCACTTTGATGTGCTTTCGAACTGCTAGGTTGGCAGGAGCAGGGACCGAGCAACGGGAGCTCACTCTGTCGCGGGGATTCGAACCGCTGACCTTCTCATCGGCAAGTCCTAGGCTCTGTGGTTTAACCCACTGTGCCTCCCAGGGAAGGGGTTAGTAAATACCAGAACAGGGGTTAGTAAATACCAAGATTGAACTTACCTGTTGGAAACAGGCCTGCACAAGGTTTTCTGGGAACATATTCCTGCAGAAGGATTTTAAGATCCTTTAATGATATTGCAATGTAACAATACAAACTATATTCAAGAAGCAATAAGGAATGCTGGTGATAATGTTTTTTTTCTCTCTCTCTCTCCACATATCCCAGGATATATTATATCAAGGCTCAAAGTTCTAGGAAGATCTGTTCAAGGTGAAACACTTATGTAAGGCCTTAAAGAGTCAATGTTTTAACAAATGGGTTCACAACAGACTGGGATCTTTCTTCCATGCTATATTTGTCATTCCGTCGGGATGCAGTGCATGGGATACAGATATACAATCTTACTGGATTGACAGAGTAGGATAAAAATGTCCCACCCAGACTTTGTAACACTTTCTCCTTGTTGTGTTTAGTAATTATATCATTTTGTTTTGGCAGACAAATGGTTCCAAATACTGCATTGGGCAGGGGACACCTACCAGCTGAGTAAAGAAAAAGCAAAAGCTAGTATGAATTGCATATGCTACCCTCTGTGCTTTATCAAGAAAAGGAACTGCATCATTATGAACAAGTCCTTTATATTGGTCAGAATCCAGCATTGCATGAGCAGATTTCCACTTGGGCATCTGGACTTCAACATCTCTGCTTCTCCCCACAAAATATGCTCCAGAGAAACCACAACACCTGGAGCAGGTGAACGAAAGCACTCAGAGGGCTCCACAGGGAGAAGAGGAATGTGAAGTCTCATTGTAAAAGCAGAGGTTTATTCTGCTTGCTCAAGGTCTGCAGACAGCACTGAATACAATCTATTGCTTCAAAGTTCTACACTACAGTGGACGCTCGGGTTGTGAACGTGATCAGTGAAGGAGGCATGTTTTCAACCCGCAGTGCCGCGTCTGTGCACACGCGGGTCGCGATTCGGCGCTTCTGCGCATCTGCAAAGCGCAATTTAGTGTTTCTGCACATGCGCAAGTGCCGAAACCCGGAAGTAACCCATTCTGGTACTTCTGGCTTCGGCGCGGTGCGCAACCCAAAAACACACAACCTGAAGAGTCTGTAACCCGAGGTATGACTGTACAAGCTGTTCCATCTCTCAGATATATGTGGATTGATAGCTTAAAACTGAGACAGTGGCATTTATGGTGCAATTGGTTTAGCAACAGAACAGAATTTGAAAGCTCACCTAACCAAGTCTAACATAGCATCCACTGTGGAGACCTCAGGTGTACTGCCCATTCTGTCAATCTCCGCAGCATTCTGGGACACTCCTGGTTTGATAGCCACAACCAACACAACCCCTGTAATGGAGAAAAATAACATTCTGAACAGATGGAAATCTTGCACACAGCATTTTAAAAAAAGAAAACAAGGTGTACAATGGCTGTTTCCAGAGCACAGCAAATGACAGGCCAGGATTATGTCAGCTGTAGAATCAATGATTTTTCTTTTACAGTTTGGTGGAAAACTGAGTTCACTGTTACAGGATACAATGTCGCCACAAGATCGTGTTAAGGAATGCAGTTTAATGGGTTAATTCCTTTGGTGAGGAAACAGCTGACTCATTTCTGAGCTTCTGTGGCACACACAACAGAGAGTAAACACCAAGTCATTCAGCCTATTGATGAACCAAGGCAGCAGATGGACATGGGGGCCAAAGTTGCACATTCACAATAAGCGAAATTATGGTTTATGTGAATGTGCTGGATCCTAAGGAGGAGATTGCAGCTGCTTTGCTCCTGCCTGGTCCTTGTTTGCTCAATAATAATAATAATAATAATAATTTATACCCTGCCCATCTGGCTGGGTTTCCCTAGCCACTCTGGACAGCTTCCAGCCAAATATTAAAATACAATAATTCATCAAATATTAAAAGCTTCCCTAAACAGTAGAGGTAACAGTACAGGTACTGGTAATCCCATGGTTAAGCATTATAATTGTTGTTAAGACAATCCTGTATGCCTATGAAATCACATATCTGGAATGTAGCATGGAGGGGGAAAAACATCCTACTCCATGAGAATGACTCTCGATGTAACAGTTTATCCAAACATGCTCTTTCTAAAAAATCTGGGTGAGGTGAAAATGACTGTTTACTTCTGATGTGCATTTAAAACAAAAACAAAACATCATTGTACAATGCAAATAAATTTAAGGATTATAAAGATTCTAGGATTACCTAGGATTACGGCTAAAGCTGTAGTGAAGAAGTAGTAAACAACTGCCCGCAAGCCAATCTTCCCAGAAATGCCGGAGTCCAAAGCAGCAACACCTGGGGATATTTGGAAAATAATGAGATTCTAGTTCATAAACATTTGTAAATAAATGCAGTTCATGTCTAGATCAGAAGAATCTTTATTTGCATCAGTCACTAGCCATAGCAACAAAATAAAATAAAATAAAATGTGCTGAAGAGAGAGGTAAAAACTTAACTATACAAAATATATTTTGAAGGTTTACATCAATAGTAAAATAATGGATCTTGCAGTTTTTTGCTGCCACCTGATCATCTTGATCCACTAGAAGAAAGGGCACAGTGGCAAGGGTGGAGTGACCTGGCATGGACAACCTCACTCCTCAAATCTTTTTATAAGGAGTGCAAGCCAGAAGCACATGAGCCACCGACTCAATACTGCCATCTCCGCATGGCCAGTTCATGTCTACATTTCTGATATTTGCTTTACCTATTCTCCTTGCATTGTGGGTGACTTCCAATTAAGCTTTTCCACTTGCAGAAAAAGCTTTTGATACACACGAAGGGCCGTACGTAGTTCAGTGGCAAAACAGTCATTTCACATGCGGAGGGTCCCAATCCCGGGCATCTCAAGGTACGACTGGCAATGTGCCCTGCCTGAAACCCTGGGGAGATGCTGACCGCCAATGGAGACAATAGTCAGCTAAATGCACTAATCATGGTTTGATTTGGTATAAGATGACTTCCTGTGCTGTTCATATGAAATGCCTACTGACATAGTAGAGTTAAGGAACCTCCAAGACAGTGTGGAAGGGGTGCAAGGGGTTGCAGAAGGAAGGGGAAATTGGTTGAAACCAATTGTTAGTAGACACTTCTGTTTGATCAACCACAATGGCAGCATTACGCTCTGTTTGCAACAGCTGTCAACCAGATTTATGGAATCTCACAAGCATGCCATCAAGGTGTTGGTTCTCATCTGTCGCCCCACCTTCAGATTGGTTAATCAAAGATATACCGTATTTACTCGAGTCTAATGTGCCATCGAATTTAATGCACACCTCAATTTTCAGAACCTGGAAACCAAAAAATGTATTTGCTGGCAGATGTAAATGTGACATTGAATCTAATGTGCACCTTAATTTTTGCAAAGTAATTTGGGTAAAAAAGGTGAGCATTAGATTCAAGTAAATATGGTATTACCCTGAACATACAGGTCTCATTGGGTCATTGTGGCTGATAGTCAGCATCCTATCCTGATAATGTATCTGTTTGTGCCATTTTATTCTATGTCGTACATGCCACCTTTTTAACTTGCACAGGAAAATCTAACTGCTTTTAAAAGTGACCCAGTGGCATGGCCAAATGGTGACCCAGTGGCATGGCCAAATTTATTTCATGAGATGGATGTTAGCCTGTCTTTTTATCTAAGAAACTAAACTAATCAGTTTTAGAAATAAGGCATCATTTCAGAATTTCAGACAGGAACATAGTACAGTGGTACCTCTGGTTATGAACTTAATTCGTTCCAGAGGTCTGTTCTTAACCTGAAACTGTTCTTAACCTGAAGCACCACTTTAGCTAATGGGGCCTCCCACTGCCACTGCGCCGCCAGCACGCGAGTTCTGTTCTCATCCTGAGGTAAAGTTCTTAACTGGAGGTACTACTTCTGGGTTAGTGGAGTCTGTAACCCGAAGTGTTTGTAACCCAAGGTGTTTGTAAGCCAAGATACCACTGTACAATGACGGCTAGGAGGCTTTGCCTCTGAAATGTATTGGTTAAAAATACAGTGGTACCTCGGGTTACAGATGCTTCAGGTTACATACGCTTCAGGTTACAGACTCCGCTAACCCAGAAATATAACCTCGTGTTAAGAACTTTGCTTCAGGATTAGAACAGAAATCGTGCAGTGGCAGCGCAGTGGCAGCGGGAGGCCCCATTAGCTAAAGTGGTGCTTCAGGTTAAGAACTGTTTCAAGTTAAGAACAGACCTCTGGAATGAATTAAGTACGACTGTAAAAATAAAAAATAGCCAGGAAGACATAGCACTGGTTCATCAATGGCTATTTCCGCTCTGCTCCCCCCTCCCCCCCGCGCCAAGAGATGGGAAGAGACTATAACTTAAATTCTTTCATAACAAACAACATGATTATTTCCACTAGAATTCTCAGAACTTCTGACAAGAAACAACATCTCTTGTGGGCAGGGTCTGAATGTGTGGCTGTGTATACAACACGCATTTAAAGCACCCACCAAGGAATCCTGGGAACTGTAGTTTGTGAAGGGTGCTGGGTATTATACATACATGTAAAACTACAGTTCCCATGATTCTTACAAGATGGGACAATGAGCTTTAAATGGTGGTCTGTGCAGTCCTCAGCATGAACTTTCAGTCTTTAAGAAAGAAAAAAATAATCTGAGGTTAATATTTCACTAGAACAGAGAGGAGAAACCTGTGGTCCTCCAGCTATTTTTGGATTCCAGCTACCATCAGAGTTAAGTCGGCACAGCCAATGTTAAGAAAAGATGGACATTGTAGTTTAATAACGTCTGGCAAGTTACAAGTTCCCCATCCCTGAAGTACCAGCATCCATAAACAAGTTTGCAAGAACCCAATCTGAATCAGGACAACGAAGGCACTCCATGGGCAATGAATGTGAAGGAAGTGCTGTTGCATTTAGGGGGAAACAGTTGGGGGTAAACCATGCTTTCTTGACATGGAAAGGTTCATCTATACTGGTTACAGAGTCCGCAGCGATAGCAGCAAGGAAATCGTGGCAGCACAAGATCTAGCTAGTAGGTCAATATAGATGGAAAAGTAAGGGGAGTGGTAACATACAGAGAAACCTTATTTGGGGAGTTTCTAATCTACAATCATACATTCCAGAAATATATGAATAATTGGTGCATTAATCATTTTGTGCTTTATGAGCAATTAGGTTAAAAAAATAAACCCTCACTTTCTACTTGTCATTTTTTTTAAAAAATACAACAGTGCAAATTATATACCCCTCACAATGAAAAAAATACAAATCAGAAATGGAACATGAAAGCTCATGAGGTTTGTTTGTTGGTAACGCATGCCTATTTTCAGGGAACTATATTACATGTGGATCTGAAGATTGGAGCTATAGCTTTCAAATTACTGGGCAAGCATGCTTAAGCAGAACAAAGTGAAGGACAGAGAAAATACCACAGAAGGAAAGAGTGCCGCAATCGCAAAATCAATGAAATTGAGAGAAAGAGACAATAGGAGCAACATGAGAACCGTTTTAAAGGGTCAGCATTCTCATAAAATCCTCCATCATTTCCATGAAGAAGGATTTGTGAATCACAGACTTATATTATGCTCAAAGAGACACTTATTGTTTTCAAAAAAACAAAACCTCCCTCTTCCACTTAATAATAATTCTGTTAAGAAATGTTCCTGGAACAGAAGTCAAGAAGGAAGTACTTTTGTCTATTTGTTAATGCTAAGAAATTTCATTGCTCAGCAACACAGATAAAGCTTCTTAAAAAACATACAAAATCAAGCAAACCTTGGGACGGTGTTCAAATTTCACAAGGTTTTCCAGATAGGGAAAAGCTGCAACCAGCTCAATTTAATAAGCAAGGTCTGCATTACATACCAATCACATACATTCATAGTTAAGATCTTTCGCTTAAAAATTTCCCAGCATTTCAGTGGTTTTCAGAGAGATAAGACTCTGAAGACCTATTCCTATGGACAAATAACCGAAGGACAGAGGATAGATCCATAGCTCCATTGCAAGGAGATCTTATCACTTGATCATGTTGGCACTAGGCATTCTGGCAAAGCAGATGTGTTTGAATTGCTGGGCCAGTGCTTTCCTCACAGCCCTTCTTCTATGCAAAAGGACAAATATGCAGTTATTGTAGGAGCTCCTCTACCTCCATTCTTCAGTGTCCTGGCTGGTTTGGTCCTACATCCCCATAACTATAACCAGTACAAATTTGTATCACTCTCTCTCTCTCTCTCTCTCTCTTTTTTTAAAATTTTTTTTAAAAAAAGTTTTTATTATTAAAATAATTCAGCATTAATACACACATATTGCAAATATACAAACATACATTTCATACAATCCTTAAAAATGTTCAAACATACCTACACTCAATCCCACAGAAAATTCCTTTTCCCATCACCATCCACCACCCCTCACCCCACCTTTGTGTTAGACTTCCAATCTGCTCTATTGCAATTTCTTTCCACTTCTATTACTTTCTTTCACACACCTTTAATCTAATTTCATGCTTCTTTTTCTATTACACATTGTTATCCATCTTATTTAGTATTTCAGTATTTAAAACGGAACTTGTTTAATAGGAGTTCTGATTTTTCAATATGGTTTTGCAAGTATCCTTTAAACACCTTCCAGTCCCTGTATCACTCTCAATAACTCCTTTAAGGGACAAAGACCCAAGTATTACACAAGGGGATTGGAGAGGCAGTGGTGGAGGAAGGGGGTGCGGTGGGGGCGGGTCGCCCCAGGTGTCACCACGGGGTGTGTGTGACAAAATCAGATGTCAAAACGATAAACAACTACCTGACATTCAGAAGACATCTTAAGGCAGCCCTGTTCAGGGAAGTTTTTAATGTATGATATTTTAGTGTTTTTTGGTTTCTATGGGAGCCGCCCAGAGTGGCTGGGGAAACCCAGCCAGATGGGCGGGGTACAAATAATAAATTAATAATAATAAAAATAAATGCTGGGCGGCACTAAGGCCTGCAGAGCCCGAGCTATGTGTCTCTCCTGGGAGTGACACAGTGGCTTGAGCACCCGCAGGCTCTACGCTACCCTAAACAGCCCACCCACCACCTCCCCCTCAGCTGTAGGGCAGCTGAGTGGGAGGGGCAGGCAGACTCCAGAGGCCCCATGGAGCATCCTGTCCCACCTTGTGGGCGGGTGGCCCCGCCCCATGGCCCAGGGCATGCGCGCTGCCCCAGGCACCCGATCGGCTTGCTCCGCCACTGTGGAGAGAATCCTATCATTTCCTTGCACACCAAGATCAACATAATTGCCCTGGTGCAGCCATGTGGCAGCTGCCAGTATAGTGTGTTAATGGCTTATCCTGTACTGTTGCCAGAATTGTGATCGTGTCCCAGTACAAAGCTATAGAGCTCTGTTCTATGTTCTTTATGGGACGGTGCCTCGGCACGTTGACTTCTACCACCATGTGTCAGCATTCCAGTGTTTTAAAGGTAAAGGGACCCGTGACCATTAGGTCCAGTCGCAGACGACTCTGGGGTTGCGGCGCTCATCTTGCTTTATTGGCCGAGGGAGCTGGCGTACAGCTTCCGGGTCATGTGGCCAGCAGGACTAAGCCGCTTCTGGGGAACCAGAGCAGCACATGGAAACGCCATTTACCTTCCTGCCGGAGCGGTACTTATTTATCTACTTGCACTTTGACGTGCTTTCGAACTGCTAGGTTGGCAGGAGCAGGGACCGAGCAACGGGAGCTGTTGCGGGGATTCGAACTGCCGACCTTCTGATTGGCAAGCCCTAGGCTCTGTGGTTTAACCCAAAACGCCACGCATGTCCCTTCAGGGTTTTAAATTACTAAATTACTAAGATGGAGACCCAGAACCAGATTTCAATTGAGCAAGGCTTCCATTCTGAACGATATTGCAAGATAATAAGATATGCGTGCCTCTGCACATGTACAGAGTTCATTCTCTGCACAGAGTGACCAGCGTTAGTCCCTCAAAACACCTGATATTAGGGAGAAGATCAAAGGGTGTGCCTTTTAGGCAGGCTTGAACTCAAAGCAGCTCTCTTTCAGAAATTAGCCACTGATGAAATCTGAAAGTCATCACTGAGTGTGAATCAGCAATACTCCTCCTCCCTTTCTCAGAGCTTCTAGCAAGGCCCGAACAAGTCACCTAGCTATTAGAGGGAAACTGACAGAATCTATTTCTTCCTCCATTCCATTTAGCCCACACAATAAATTGGTCATTAAAGAGGATCAGCAAAAAAGCCTGGCCTGTATTAACTGCCTGTGCCAACACTGCTCTATTTGATGATCAAACCATAAATCCTCTCTCTACAGAGACTGATTTCATACTGCATACTTGGCCAGTTCCCGAGGCAGACAATAGGTGCTTGTTGTGCTTGCACGAGATATAGACTGCGGAGACAAAATACATGACCTCAAGCACACATGCCACGCTATTGAAGAGTGTGGTTACTACTTAACCAAGCGCAATCAAACATTAAAATGAGCTCTGCTCGAAGAGCACGTGCATTAAGAACTGATTCACACAACCACTTCGGTGTACAGTTCGGCAAAGCAGGTTGCTACGTATAATGTGGTTGTGCTTTGTGAACGTGTCAGCAGAATGATGTGGATGATCTGGAATTCAAAAGCAACCTGCACACAAACTAGGTTGCATGTGATGTGTAACTGATCAACTCACATAACCTAATATGAGGGGGAAATTCTAGTTTGCCTACATTACAGACCAATCACATTACCATCTCTTTGAAAAGTGCATCACAACCACCTTGCAAATTTCAGACTAAGACAATCATTGTCTTCCCAGAAGATTGTGAGGATTTACACATGTCTTCTATGAATCACGACCCATTTCCTCCTTTAACTCTCATCTGATGACTATCAGAACAAGACGGAATCTTGACTTACTGAAGGATTTGTGGGGGCACCTGGCTTGATAGTAGTGCATATGAAAGGATCTAGAGGTCATAGTGGACCACAAGCTTAACATGAGTAAACAGTGTGATGCAGCAACAAAAGAAAAGAAAAGAAAAGCGAATGCAATTCTAGACTGCATCAAGAGAAGTCTAGTGTCCAGATCAAGGGCCACCAAAACTAAAAAACTGAAGGAATGACCGCCGGATGTGGAGCACTTCCATCCACAGACAAGCCACAGCTGTCTGAACATCATGCCCTCTATCTAACCTTTGGCTTTCTCAGTGGTCTGCCGTGCTCTGTCTGTGACCTTTGTCTCCTTCATTATACATTGTTCAAGGGGAAAATGAAGCGGTAGAAACAGGTGCCAAAATAACTTTGCACCTGCATTACCAACTCCTGCCTCACGCCCTTCACTTCACCCAACTCTACAGTTTTGTGATTCTATGATTGTTAAGTTCTGAATTTGAGGGACACAGGTGGTGCTGTGGTCTAAACCACTGAGCCTCTTGGGCTTGCTGAAGGTCGGCGGTTCAAATCTGCACGGCGGGATGAGCTCCTGTTGCTCTGTCCCAGCTCCTGCCAACCTAGCAGTTTGAAAGCATGCCAGTGCAAGTAGATAAATAGGTACAGCTGCGGCAGGAAGGTAAATGGTGTTTCCGTGCGCTCTGGCACTCGTCACAGTCCTCCGTGCACCAGTAGCGGTTTAGTCATGCTGGCCACATGACCCAGAATGCTGTCTGCGGACAAACACCGGCTCCCTCAGCCTGAAAGCGAGATGAGCGCTTAGGTACTGATTAGGTACTCCTCCTCTCACCCCTGGCAATCCAATTTGGGAGGTTATCAGAGCATGGTTAGGTTATCCCTGCTGAGAACTGGTTGCAGTTGATGAAGCAGCTGCATGTAACTGGCAAAAGACAAAAGCCCTCAGGAGAAACCCTGAGCTGAGAACCTGCTCTACAGCTGTGTAAATTTCAAAGTTTGAGCTTCCTAAAACCTGTTAAGGAACAATAATCTAGAAATAGGAGGTGAAGGAAATGCTTTGATATTACAGGGAACCAGGCAGAGGGCCTTCTCAGTAGTGGCACCCGCCCTGTGGAATGCCCTCCCATCAGATGTCAAGGAGTTAAACAACCAGCTGACTTTTAGAAGACATCTGAAGGCAACCCTGTTTAGGGAAGTTTTTAATGTTTGATGTTTTATTGTGTTTTTAATATTCTGTTGGGAGCCACCCAGGGTGGTTGGGGAAACCCAGCCAGATGGGCGGGGGATAAATAATAAATAATTATTACATTATATTCTTAAAATAGCATCAGTGTAAGACTTGAGAAATGTTACATTTGAAAGTCGTGGAAGTAAAGTTTTAAATGCTTAATGCTATTTTTTTAACCAAACAGATTTTATTTACAGAAATAAGAATATATATATATATATTTGGTCTTACCTGTTATCATACTTGATATAATTAATGGCAATATGATTAGCTTGAGCATCCTCATCAGAACTTCTCCCGGAAAGGCAAAGTAAAATTTATCCAGATTGGAGAGATTTCCATATTCCCTAACGGCGACACCCAATCCAATGCCTAAGAAGTAACAGTGAAATACAAAACCAGATTTAGTATTTGGGAGGGGGGGGGAGGAATGAAATCATGTTTTGAATATAATTTTAATCAACATAAAGCAAATTATGACAGTGCTGGAAATGTTTGTTCTTCAAAAGTACAGTGGTACCTCGGGTTATAAACTCTTCGGGTTACAAATGCTTTGGGTTACTAACTCCGGTAACCCAGAAATAATACCTCAGGTTAAGAACTTTGCCCCAGGATGAGACCGGAAATCGTGTGGTGGCGGCGCAGCGGCAGCAGGAGGCCCCATTAACTAAAGTGGTACCTCAGGTTAAGAACGGTTTCGGGTTAAGAACGGACCTCCCGAACGAATTAAGTACTTAACCCGAGGTACCACTGTATGTTATTCAAAGATGGCAGAAGGTTCCTTCAGGTGTACAGACCTGTGAGGCAACTCAACGATGGAAGCATTCTTCCTGTTGTTGTTCTCACTGGCTCATGCCTCACCTTGGAGCATGCTCAAAAGTTACACCTAGCCACCAAACCATTTCACCAATGGTTTGAAACAACCAGCGTCTCCTGAAACTGCCCCATTGTTCCAACCCATCAAATACATTTTCTGCGTGTGTCTATGCAACATAAAGTTTTGAAACAGAGCGGTCTGCTTATATACACAAAAATATAAAGAAAAGGAAATGAGTTGGGCTTCAGTTCTCTATGCTTTTGTTCTGGAGAGACATTTTCTCAAGAATGTTTCAGCCCAAACGTGAAGCTTTCAGATGAAGCCATCTGTCATCTGCCTTGGATAAAGAAAGACACATTCTTTCTTTCAGCGCTCTTTCCTCATTGACATGCTAAATTTATTTTGTTTTAATGAAGTACGTTGTGCTACATGATGAAAAGGAAGCAACACAAAGCATCTCAGTGGTTTAAGGAAGCAGTCCAGCATGCGGTGACATTCTGTGTGATTTATCTTGCTCAGTATCACAGCAGGAATAAACTGAATCCTCTCCTTACATTCCCAGACTATCATACTTTACTCAGAATGTCTGGTCTGCACATAGTAAATTTCAAATTATTATTATTGTATTTGTATATATAGCTAAAGGAAACAAATGTATATGAATACATGTTGTATGGTAGTTTCATAATAAACCTTTTGGAATAGCTGGCCATATGTTAACCAGGTTTTCTACGTACAAATTCATTCCTAAAGTTGAGTCACCCTATTTTATAAGCACTTGCAGTCAGTCCAGGGAGAGGAAAGCAATGTCAAAAATATAACTGAAAACACTTAATGATATGTTGAGTGAAAATAACTTTCACACAAGGAGTTTCTCTTATTATTCTAGAGTGGATTTTGTTTTCTGATTACTGCTCTTAGCATAGTTATAGCCACATTATCTCACACATGGCATATAGCATGGTAGTTTTCAAACATGCTACCTTGTTGAAAACACTTTTAACCAAATTATTTACATTGCTCAGTTTCATTTGTGGTACACAGTTTGTTCTAGTCTTTAGGATTTTTAAAAACTGAAAATCATTGTTTTTTAATGGTTTTTATGTAAACTTCTTAGAACTTTTTATTATATTTGGTTTTGTGGAGTATAGACCTAATCTCTTGGGAGTATAAGCTTTGTTTAAATGGAGAATGTGATGTGCAGCAAATGCAAAGCTCTCCTGTAGCTGGAAGAAGAAGAAGAAGAAGAAGAAGAAGAAGAAGAAGAAGAAGAAGAAGAAGAAGAAGAAGAGGAGGAGTTTGGATTTGATATCCCGCTTTATCACTACCTGAAGGAGTCAAAGTGACTAACATTCTTCTTTCCCTTCTTCCCCCACAACAAACACTCCGTGCGGTGAGTGAGGCTGAGAGACATCAGAGAAGTGTGACTAGCCCAAGGTCACCCAGAAGCAGCATGTGGAGGAGCAGGGAAGCGAACCCAGTTCACCAGATTACGAGTCTACCGTTCTTAACCACTACACCACACTGGAGAGGGGATATTTAAGCTCCTTTAAATCTGTAGTGAAGACACCCCAGGCAGGGATGGAGGAAGGGGTGGGTGGTGGGTGCGGGCCGCCCTGGGTGTCACCACTGAGGGGGGTGACAAAATGCCGGGCGGCACTCACTGCGGGGCCTGCAACACGCCCGAGCCACACGTCTCTTCTGGGAGTGACGCGGTAACTTGGGTGGCGCAGGCTCCATGCTGCCCAAATGGTCCGCCCGCTGCCTCCCTCCCAGCTGTAGGGCGGCTGAGTGGGAGGAGGCAGGCAGATTCCGGAGGCCCTGCGGTGTACCCTGCCCCTATGGGAGGCTCGCCCAGCCCCTGGGTGCGCCGCCCCAGGAGCCCAAGCGGCTTCCTCCCAACTAACCTGTTAGCCCAGAAGTCGCAATAACTGTCAGCATTTTCATTCTCTCCCGTTGCTGGACGTGTGATTATTACATCACATGTCTGTGTTTACATTCCGTGCTTGGAAAGTGAGGGAAATGGAAGCCAGTTCTATCTCTTCCGTTGGATTGTACTTTTGTACTTTTTCTCTCTCTCTTGGAGAAGATGTGAGAGGACACCATGGTTGCTTTGTCTTGTAAAGGTAAAGGGACCCCTGACCATTAGGTCCAGTTGTGACCGACTCTGGGGTTGCGGCGCTCATCTCGCTTCATTGGCCGAGGGAGCCGGCGTACAACTTCTGGGTCATGTGGCGAGCATGACTAAGCCACTTTTGGCGAACCAGAGCAGCGCAGAGAAATGCCGTTTACCTTCCCACCAGAGCGGTACCTATTTATCTACTTGCACTTTGACGTGCTTTTGAACTGCTAGGGTGGCAGGAGCAGGGACCGAGCAATGGGAGCTCACCCAGTCACGGGGATTTGAACCGCCGACCTTCTGATCAGCAAGTCCTAGGCTCTGTGGTTTAACCCACAGTGCCATCCGCACCCCTGCTTTGTCCTGTATATATTGCTTAATAAATTACTTAGACGTCACACCTCATAGCCTGAGCTTCCAGCTTTACTCTGCTGTTTGAGTATGCATATATCTTCGGATATGTGTTGCTGCTGCGCACCGGGACTGCAGAGTTATGAGCGTCCCGGGTTGCGCTCCAGAGGAAGATGTCCGGAGAAGTCTGTCTCAGTGAGGGCGCTGTGCTTTCCCCCCCCATGTGTTCCAACAATGGTTATGGGCCCAGAGATGTAGAGATGGCCGTGTGCTTATCGGAGGACTGTCTCATTGATTGATGAGGTACATAGCTCTGAGTTCAGTGAGTGCTAATTGCTGGGAGTTGCGGCAAGATTTATTGCTGCTTTGGAATTTCCTGGCTACTTGTGGTAGGTTGGAAGGCTGGTGAATTAAACTTACATTGGAGGGATTTCCCCCCTTCGTTTTATTATTCAATTTTTTAAAAATATTATTATTATTATTATTATTATTATTATTATTATTATTATTATTACCTGCAGCATACTATGGTCAAAAGTGACTCTCTTTTGATGGTTGATGGTAATGGTTGATGATATTACGCACTATTAATATCACCAACCATTTAAAATGTTCTGGGCATTGCACAGCATATGAAATTATTAGGACTTTACTATCGAATCCCATGATTTCTGTCCCTGTATCTGTAAATTTGCCTCTAAAGCAAAGCAGTCCTTCTGTGCTTTACACCCGAGTCATCTCTGTTTTTCAGCACACTGACACCATGTGCCTGTGATTCTTGAGCTGGAGGCGGCTTCCCTGTGCTGTGTTTTCTCTGTCATAATGGATCTTATGGCGACCATCAGATTTATAAATGTATGGAGGGAGCTCATCTGGGAATTCTGGCGTTAAGGGCTTCCTGTTCTGGCAAATTACTGCCCTTGGCGAGTAATGAATATATATTACCGACAGAAGTACAAATAAAATTAGAGCTCAGTTTGTTTGTGAATTAAATCCTCACAATTCCGGATGGGAATTTGTTTTGTTAAATCTAAAACCTTTCTACACCAGATTCTTTTCAAAAAAATAAATAAATCCTGCACTTGCACCACTACTGACTGATCTGTTTTCAAATGCCATTACAGCCACTGGGGGGGCTTTTTCTATATTAGAAGTTTATAGCAAAACAAATGCACAGCTGTCAAGACATCTTGCAAAGAAGCACTGGAGTTTCAGGGATCTTGCATCTTCCAAGTACCACTGTAGGGTTGTTGCTATTCAGAATACTCTGTGGAGTGTGGTTGCTCGAATGATATAGAAACTCACTGGATAATGCCTGTTGAAAGGTTCATACATGCTTCCACAAATGTGTAAGGGCAGTGCCAGATTTACGTATAAGCTAAACAAGCTATAACTTAGGGCTCCACTCTCTTGGGGGCCCCAAAAAACTTAAAGGAAAAAAACCTGGATGTACATTTCCAAAATATAAGATAAAAAACAAACAAAATAAAACCTACATACAGCAATAGTGTTTTGTGTTGTGTAGGCTCCTATGATGTAAACAATGGGCCCCACCTGCTAGCCCGCTCCCTAAAATATCACCGGTTTGCTCATTTCTATAGATAGGGTGCCTACATTCTGTATGAACTTTGCATTCTGCATGGACTTTACAACAATTACTTTGATAAAATACATATTTTGTTATGTGCAAATGGCTTTAGGTACATTAGGCCCATAAATTACCATATAGCATATATTCAACACAAAAAAACAGTGACAATTTGCTGTAGACAAAGGATGGCTGGACATATAAAGGGTCCCATTACCTTCAGTAGCTTAAAGGTAAAGGGACCCCTGGCAGTTAAGTCCAGTCGTGGATGACTCTGGGGTTGCGGCGCTCATCTCACTTTACTGGCCGAGGGAGCTGGCGTTTGTCCGCAGACAGCTTCTGGGTCATGTTGCCAGCATGACTATGCTGCTTCTGGTGAACCAGAGCAGTGCACTGAAATGCCGTTTACTTTCCTGCTGGAGCGGTACCTATTTATCTACTTGCACTTTGATGTGCTTTTGAACTGCTAGGTTGGCAGGAGCTGGGACTGAACAACGGGCGCTCACCCCGTCGTGGAGATTCGAACTGCCAACCTAAATGCAAGTTAGGTAGGTTTCACTTTAAATGCAAACTGAATTGAATTCCTTCCCTACCTCTACTTATGACTCTACCACTGATGACTGTAGTAGTTCTTACAACATCTGCACCAGGTCATGAACATAATGCAATTGCTCAGTCTGCAAAGAGAGGGTTCACATGGAAATAGAATTTGCAATGGAGTTGCAATTTCTTGGTTTCAACCAATGTGAAATCTTCACATTAGCGCTGTACTTAATGTCAAGACCAGGCATATGCAAACTCGGCCCTCCAGATGTTTTGGGACTACAACTCCCATCATCCCTAGCTAATAGGACCAGTGGTCAGGGTGATGGGAATTGTAGTCCCAAACCATCTGGAGGGCTGAGTCAAGATTAATGGAAGTTTGGATTTCCCAGAGTAGATGTTTACTTCCTTTCTTCCATTCCACTGACCAACACTGCTAGCTTGGTGCAGTCATTGTAGACAAAAGCTTTGCCCTGACTCTTAACGGGGAAACATTCTATCAAGACAAAGAAGAAGCTGAATCATAATTATACAGTTCACAGTAGTTCAGGCTTCCTCAACCTCAGCCCTCCAGATGTTTTGAGACTACAGTTCCCATCATCCCTAACCACTGGTCCTGCTAGCTGGGGATCATGGGAGTTGTAGGCCAAAAACATCTGGAGGGCCAAGGTTGAGGAAGCCTGCAGTGGCTTATGTATATTAGTTGTATACAGTTCAGCTACTGCACTACTGCTTACTCAAAGCTTGGTTGCAAAAGTTTCGAAAGGTTCCACAGAAGCATTCTTTCCTTTTTCTTTTTTACTTAATAATTTAATTATTTTTAAGATCCTCAAGCAAATGAAGTCCCCAAACATCAAACAGCATTTGATTGAACTAAGGAAGGATGGAATTGTATTCTGTAATTTACCTTGAAAAAAATGTGATTACACTTTCAGCTATGAAAAGGTTTCTAATTGAAATGTTGTTGTCATATATCCCCCCCCCAAAAAAAATTTAAAATTGCACACAAGGGCATGTCCTTGTACCAAAAAAGCAATTTAACTGGTTTCTTTGAAGTATGACACGCTTTATCATCCCAAATACCAAAAATACACTAAGCATAGCAGTTATCCTTAACAATGTTCCGAAGTACTGAAGTATAGCAGTACATATTGATCTTAATGTAATGCTATATGGAAAAGCTATTTTCATACCCAGTCTATTCTTCATTAACCCATACCCACAATTTTGGCCTTTAATTGCCCAATTCTTTGCTAAATTGAGACAATTTTATGATGTCCATACATTTCAATTCTAATAGATCTTCATGCTTCCTTTAAAAGATCTATTAGAGTTCAAATGTATGGACATAAAATTGTTTATATACATTAAAATTTGATGCTATGAGTTTCTGGAAAATTTACAAACAATACTTATCTAAAGTAGATTTCTTTAGGAAAATATAAAACTAAAATGACTTCCATGTGAAATATATAGCTGCTTTAGAAATAAAGTAACTTGCAAACAAACAGTGAAGAAACAACAAATTTGCCAGTAGATTCTATTTGTATGTATTACTTTAAATCATGGTCAGTGGAGAGGGATTACAACTCCCCCCTTCAAAGGTATGTTTAAAATCTCTAAATTTCTCCTTGCAGGAAAGCAGTGGGGGAGATCAACAAATGAGCACTGCATGTGTGAATTTGCCTTCTGGATCAAATCCTGAATGTACAAAACTCAGAAAAGTAACTGAACTGTAGCCAAGATCCAAATAATTATGAAAGTCATCCCAGCATTCCAAGGTATACCCCCCCACAACGAACGGCAACCTCCAAGGTCACCTGATAAGATTCTGAAGGAGTATGTCCTATGGCACAGGGATGAATTGTTCAAAGGAAAATGAATAAGAATTTACAAAGGATGTATTCAAACTCCTCGTGCTCAGATCCTGAGCCACATATGCAGAGTCCAATGGATGACTTGCTTTGTCAAATGATATAAAAATTACTCCAGAGACACTCCTCTCCCCCCCAAAAGAGTAAAGGACCCCTGGACGGTTAAGTCCAATCAAATTCTCCCCACAACAGGTGTCCTAAAGCCAGTGCCGGATTTACGTATAAGCTAAACAAGCTATAGTTTAGGGCCCTACTCTCTTGGGGGGCCCCAAAAAAATTAAAGGGAAAAAAACCCTGGATGTACATTTCCAAAAAATAAGATAAAAAACAAATAAAATAAAACCTACATACAGCAACAGTGGTTTGTGTTGTGTAGGCTCTTATGATGTAAATAATGGGCCCCGCCTGCTAGCCTGCTCCCTAAAATATCACTTCTTCTTAATTGTATTTCAGTTCAACAATTACTTTGAGTAAATACATATTTTGTTACGTGCAAATGACTTTAGATACCTATTAGGTCCATAAATTACCATATAGCAGATATTCAACACATTTGGTGTAAACCACAGAGCCTAGGGCTTGCCAGTCGGAAGGTCAACGGTTCGAATCCCTGCGACGGGGTGAGCTCCCGTTGCTCAGTCCCTGCTCCTGCCAATGTAGCAGTTCAAAAGCACGCCAAAGCGCAAGTAGAGAAATAGGTACCGCTCCGGCGGGAAGGTAAACAGCGTTTCCGTGCGCTGCTCTGGTTCGCCAGAAGCAGTTTAGTCATGCTGGCCACATGACCCAGAAAAACTACCTGTGGACAAACGCTGGCTCCCTCGGCCAGTAAAGTGAGATGAGCGCCGCAATCCCAGAGTCGTTCGTGACTGGACTTAACTGTCAAGGGTCCTTTACCTTTACCTTTTAAATATGTATACATAGTCCAGATGCATGCTCCTTTGCCTTTCTAGATCAGTTCTGAGAATACGCGAAATAAGGCTCATCTTTTGCTATTTCTGATGCTTAAAGAAGCAATTCTAACTATGGGAAGCCAGCTTAATGACCCTGTCTTGATTTAAGTCAGCCTAAGGTAAGCCAGGAGGGACATGGTTGGCGCTGTGGCTTAAACCACAGAGCCTAGGACTTGCCGATCAGAAGGTCAGCAGTTCGAATCCCCACGACGGGGTGAGCTCCCGTTGTTCGGTCCCTGCTCCTGCCAACCTAGCAGTTCAAAAGCACATCAAAGTGCAAGTAGATAAATAGGTACTGCTCCGGTGGGAAGGTAAACGGCATTTTCGTGCACTGCTCTGGTTCACCAGAAGCGGCTTAGTGATCCGGAAGCTGTACGCCGGCTCCCTCGGCCAATAAAGCGAGATGAGTGCTGCAACCCCAGAGTCGGCCACAACTGGACCTAATGGTCAGGGGTCACTTTACGTTTAAGGTAAGCCAGAGCCAAACCCCATTCAGGAGCAAAGCTACTGCCAACTGAGAGAGCCCAATCCCGTTTTGAGGGAAGCCTTAAAATACAGTGGTACCTCAGGTTACAGATGCTTCAGCTTACATACGCTTCAGGTTACAGACTCCGCTAACCCAGAAATAGTACCTCGAGTTAAGAACTTTCCTTCAGGATGAGAACAGAAATCGTGTTCCGGCGGTGCGGTGGCAGCAGGAAGCCCCATTAGCTAAAGTGGTGCTTCAGGTTAAGAACAGTTTCAGGTTAAGAACAGACCTCCGGAACGAATTAAGTACTTAACCCGAGGCACGACTGTAATAACCTTAAACAAGCCACCCCCTTTTTTGCTGGCATAAGTTCTGCTGGGCTGCTAGGCCACATGACTGAGATGAACAGAGTTAGGGTCCCTATGAAGTCTCTTCCCTGCCTGTCCCTGTCCCCAACATGCTTTCCTAGGGACTTAACACCAGCCTCGATCCAGTCAGCTTTGGGTCAGCTGGCTGAGCGCCGTCTGAGCCAAGACGAGCATTTTGCACCAGTGCATCTCCAGCTAAGCTAGGGTTGGGGACTTAAACCACTGCAGCCTCAGCTGACTGAGCCAGAGATCTACTGCAGCCTAACTCACTGGTGGATCTTGGGTTAAGGTTGCACCCTAAATCCCCAATCAGACTAGGACGTAGGAGACCAGGGTTCAAATCATCAGTCAGCCATGAATCTCCCTGAATGACCTTGGGCCAGTTGCCGTCTCTCAGCCTAACCTATGACACACAGTTGCTGTGAGGATGAAATGTAACCCACTGAACTATTTGGAGGAAATAAATGTGGGATATGGAAGTGAGAGCTGGACCATAAAGAAGGCTGATCGCTGAAGAATTGATGCTTTTGAATTATGGTGCTGGAGGAGACTCTTCAGAGTCCCATGGACTGCAAGAAGATCAAGCCTATCCATTCTTAAGGAAATCAGCCCTGAGTGCTCACTGGAAGGACAGATCGTGAAGCTGAGGCTCCAATACTCTGGCCACCTCATGAGAAGAGAAGACTCCCTGGAAAAGACCCTGATGTTGGGAAAGATGGAGGGCACAAGGAAAAGGGGACGACAGAGGACGAGATGGCTGGACAGTGTTCTCAAAGCTACTAACATGAGTTTGACCAAACTGAAGGAAGCAGTGGAAGACAGGAGTGCCTGGCGTGCTCTGGTCCATGGGGTCACGAAGAGTCGGACATGACTAAACAACTAAACAACAACAAATGTGGGGTATAATTGTAACACTAAACAAACTGACTTCAAAAGGAATTTTGAATTAATTTTTGAATTTTGATTTAATTTCTTCAAGAAAAATCGCACTGCTATTTGCCTTTTTATGGTACCATGACTTACTTGTGCAATACTGAGGGCTATAATTTAGATTGTGGAAAACCAGTATTGAGAGAAATGGAGAGGGAAGAGGCATGTTTGTCTTTCGTATTAATTTGCCCACATCGTTATGAAATACACTGAACAGATGGCATTTAACAAATATTAATTTTTCATGAGAATGATGTTGGTTGGATAAGCGTGATTTACACTTCTAACAGCCAGAGTAATACCAATAACTGAATGCAGTCAAGTAAATGAGATTACTGAAATGAATTATTTAACAAATCCTGGCTGGAAACAATCACCAAGGGTGCTTTATATTTTTTGACAGCCAGGCAATTCGTGCTGGAGTGAGAGTGTACAGCTTATATACAAAAATACTTGTCTGTTTCTAGTTTTTTAAAAATACACAGGAATAACTTCACATACTAGAGGTGTCTTGGGAGATTTAAGAAAGAGAATGGGGATCATTCTTCCTGGAAGGAAGGGTAACTGAGGCTGCAGGGCTTTTCACATTTATTTGGGAGTGAGTTCCATTTAACATTGCTTTGAGGGTGTTTTCCTACAACCAAGCAGTATACAGTGGTACCTCGGGTTAAGAACTTAATTCGTTCCGGAGATCCGTTCTTAACCTGAAACTGTTCTTAACCTGAAGCACAACTTTAGCTAATGGGGCCTCCTGCTGCCGCTGCGCCGCCAAAGCACGATTTCTGTTCTCATCCTGAAGCAAAGTTCTTAACCTGAAGCACTAGTTCTGGGTTAGCGGAGTCTGTAACCTGAAGCGTATGTAACCTGAAGTGTATGTAACCTGAGGTATATCTTTTATCAAACAAACAAACAAACAAACAAATAAATACAGAGCCACCTACATCTGAGTACACGTGGTTAGGCTCTCCTGCAATCCTAAACCTACTTGACAAGTAGCAAGTTCTTTTGAACTCAGCAGGGTTTATTTGCAAGTAAATATAATGTAAATCAGGCTACACAGCTCCTATGTGGCACTCACAGAATGGTCATCTTACCCTTTCTACAGCTATGATCCTAATAAGCTTTACTTGGAAGTAAACATTTCTGAAATGAGCCTCCTTTCCAAGATTACTAGGATCATGCGGGGCCAGGTACTAGTATAGGACAAGTCAATGATTGCTGAGATGAAGAACGATTTAATGATCTGCAGTGGGGCTAGACCCGGGCAATCAGCTCTCCTTAAGGTTTCCTCTTTTCTTAAAATATTTGCCAAGTCTGGTTGAACTTAGTGGGACTTACACCTGAGTAAACGTATTTCGACTCAGGAGCCACGGTGTTTTAATTTTATCAACATTCTATAGATGCTCAACGAATGCCAGATCAGCACTTAAACATTAGTACCATTTCATCACAGTGGCAAAGATTTGCTCACTGCCACCTCTTTCCTTTATTGCAACAGGGCTGGGGAAACCCCCATCCACCCCACAAAGAACAAATCTGCATCTGTTTCCAGGGAGATATCCATTTTTTTTGGAAAGGGCTTTCCTCGAGGAAAACACCTATCCACTTTCATCATGTGATATTCGAGGTGTGTGTGTGTGTGTGTGTGTGTGTGTGTGTACTAGGTATTATTAAGCTCAGCTGGGGGTTTGGCAAAGAGCTTAGAAGAGATAGACTGTAATCCTGCCCAAATGATAGCAGGGGAGCTTTTTAAGTCCCGGAACCAATCCCAGCTGGGTTACCTTTCTAGGATGCTCATAATACAACGCTACATTTCTCCCATGGTGGCTGAACATTTGTTTAGCGTGTGTCTCTGTCTCTCTGTCTCTGTCTCTCTCTGTGTATGTGTAGAGCCGTAGCTATGGGGGGGTAGCCAGGTCCCCCCCCCCCCGTGAAGCCTCCAGAGGGAAACCATTGATGCTCCCAACCTGTGTGTACGCAAATACGCGCGGGGGGGGGGGTGTGCCAAGCTGGGTCTTTGACCAGGGTGAAATAATGCCTTGTTTCGCCCCTGGTGTGTGTGTGTGTGTGTGTGTGTGTGTGTCTCTGTGTGTGTCTGTCTATCTATCTATCTATCTATCTATCATCTATCTAATCTTCTTTGTTCCTACATATACACGTCTCTCTGTGTGTATTCACATATACATCTTCAATGTTAAGCAAGTGGAACTATTTCTTGTCATTTTCTATTTTCCTGCTTACAACCCCACCTTAAGGAAGACTACTGCACACGGCTGGAAGGAGGCAACCTCGACCCAGAGCAGCCGCCAAGGATTCCCTCCAAAGGGAAGGGCTGCCTTTCCCCCCCGAATGATGAAAGAGGTTTCCACGCGCCCCCGCGACGCTCCAGCTTCCTTCGCCTGCCTGCCTCCCTCCCTCCCTCCTTCCTTCCCCCTCTTCTTCCCTTGCCCGCCAACTCACCCAGCACCACGGCGAGGATGGTGGCCAGGAGGAGCCAGTTGTTCTTCAGGAAGCGCCTGCAGTTGAAGCCCCTTTTCCGGGCGAGCTCCTTCGCCATGGTGGCTCGTGGTGATGGTGGTGGGAGAAAAGACGCACGGGAAGGAGATGGAGGCCGGAGGGATGAGAGACTAGAGACACGCGCGCAAGAGACGGAGGCAGAGAGAGGAGCCGGCGGGTCTTTCCCTCAACGGCAGAACGGCTCTCGCTCGCTCGCGTTCGGCCGGCTGCTGGTTTCGCTGGAACGCGCGCGCGCGTGTGGATAGAGAGAGGACGGGGATCGTGCGCCTTCGTCACGCTGCGGGGTCTCTGGCGTCTCCTCCTCCTCCTCTCGCAGTCGCTGGTGCTGGTGCTGCTGCTGGCGGAGTCTGCCTGGCTCTGCGGCTCCGAGATAGCCAGGCGGAGAGGAGGAGGAGAAGGAGAGGTGTGGTGGTGGCAGCGGCGGTGCCTCTGCGCGTGTGTGGCTGGAGAGCAGGGCGCGCTCTGTCTCTGTCAGGCGCATCCAAAACACTTGGCACAAGACGCTGCGCGCGCGGCGCCCTCTCTCTTTCTCTCTCTCTGAGTAACTTTGCCTAACCACACGGCCCTGGGGGGGGAGGGGCACCTTGGGGCGCCCTCCCCCAGCGAGCGGCGCTTGCGCTTCCTCCTCGTGCCCACAGGTGCCAGCTTCCTGTGCTCCCCGGGGTGCCCGAGCAGCACCCACAAAAATGCTCCATGAAAGGTCGCCGGGTACAGGGGCGCGGGGCCAAGCAGGCCCTCCTGCCCACAGGGCTGTGGGTCAAGAGCCGGGCGCTCGGGGGTGGGGTGGGTTGTGGGGGCTTCGGCGCCCTTTCAGGAGGCGCTCGGACGACCCGCGTGGGGCGCGGAAAGGCGCGGCTGCTGCTCTGCGCTAAGCGCGCTTCGAAGATATAGATGTGGACATACAGTAAAAAAACCAAATAACTCATTTCACACCTATTAACAGTGGCGAGAGCAACTGTGGCAAGATTCTGAAGGACATTTATATTTAGGCAAATTGTTGTTGTTGTTTAGTCATTTAGTCGTGTCCGACTCTTCGTGACCCCATGGACCAGAGCACGCCAGGCACTCCTGTCTTCCACTGCCTCCCGCAGTTTGGTCAAACTCATGTTAGTAGCTTTGAGAACACTGTCCAACCACCTCGTCCTCTGTCGTCCCCTTCTCCTTGTACCCTCAATCTTTCCCAACATCAGGGTCTTTTCCAGGGAGTCTTCTCTTCTCATGAGAGGTGGCCAAAGTCTTGGAGCCTCAGCTTCAGGATTTGTCCTTCCAGTGAGCACTCAAATTACTGGTATTCAAAAAGTCTGGCCCTTCTAGAATTGCTCTTGTAGATAATGTTTCCAACAAGTTGAAAGTAGCTAGGGGGCATACTGCAAGAGACTGATTTTTCGCAAAGTGGCATGATTTTATGTTATTTACAAATGATGAAGCCCTGGCCGTATGGTCCCTCTTGTTTATTCCAAGTTCTGGATTTTGTGAAAGTGTACAACTGCTAACTTATTTTCAAAGCTAAGGAGGGTCTGGTGTGGTTTAAAATTGGATGGGGACTGGTGTTGATAAGCCTACATTGTGGATGACTCTTGGGTCCCTTTCACCTCTACAATTCAATGATTCTGAGTCTATGTTTAGGCAGACCTATGTTCTTTATATTTCTGCTGAATTACTAGTAATTTTGGAGCAAGGGAAACGAGGGTGTTAACTTTTCATTCCTTCCTTCATTTTTTATTCTTTTTTTTTCATTTTGCAAGACTATGAGAATTCCTAAGATTAAGGAAGTGCCCACTTGCATGGAAAATATTGTTTGTCTTCTCCTGCTGGATTTTGTGTTATATTTGATTCGTTTCTTTTTGTTACTTTTGTTTGTATGCAAAAATTCGCTCTCTTGTTAGGATTTACAAATTTCAATTTTAAAAAGGCCAAGCCTTGCAGCAGTGTACAAAACGCTTACCTGCTTTGTATCACATCCCCCTTGACGCAGAAACAAGGAAGAAAACAGAAAAACAATTGAAGAAAAATAACAGCATACACCTTTCCAACTTGTGAAGCAAACAATTTGGCGGTGAACAAAGACGCAGATGGATAAACATTATGTTTGTGTAATTAGAGACTATTTATTTCATTTCCTTTCTAATCAGCCTTTCAATCGGCACCAGGTCCACAAGTTGTCATATCAATTCCATCAGGCATGGTTTCTCCCAAAGCACCCTGGGAACTGTAGTTTGTTATGGGTGCTGAGAATTGTTAGAAGACCCTCTATTGTCCACACAGACTTACGGTTCCCAGAGTTCCCAGGGAGGACTGATTGATTCTTAAAACATGCTGGAAATTCTAGTCTTTGTTTTAAGTGATATGATACTATTCTGAATGTATATTGCAGGTGGGACTGAGAAAGGAAATCTTAGAAAGAGAGTGTGTTGCAGAGGGTAGTGGGCTGGGTTCAAGTTAATGTTTAGCTGTGAAGTCACTTCTCAGTAGTTTTTAGGCTGTTATGATGATAAAATGGGATAACCTCATGGACACTACCTTGGTCTCTTTGGAAGGAGTAATAACTTAAATTAATAACTTAGTTATATTAGAAACGGGCAAAACACAAGAAATAAAAACAATGCGATGCAAAATATAAACATTTTGGGTTAGTTATCAGCTCTTGTGGTTTAATTTGAATGATGTTAACCTGATTTTTAAAAAAATATTATTAAAGGTTGACAGATATTGGCTCCCATCCTGGATGAAGATTCAGTTTGGTAGTTTTTGTACGGGTAACCAAACACAAATCTGTAATAAAAATGTCTCAATAAAATGAAAAAGAATTAAAGGTACCCTAGGCTGATGGCTCACTCCCAGAACTGCTGAAGTTATTTAAAAGATGAACACAATAATGGAAAATGATGGTAAGAGATTCTATTTTGGAAAGGTTTGCAACTATCTATATCATGTCCACAATGAACCTACTTGGTCAGCAAACAAAAAGCAATATTTTATTATTTGGTGTTTTCCCCCCTTTAAATCCCTTTTTGATCTTTGTACTTATTCTCCAAGAGTTCACTTCCAACGCAACATTTTCCTCAAGCACAGGCCCTGAGGAATTAATCCCCAAAAGAATACACATAAAAAAAACCCATTACATTGGAATTACCACTGTCAGGGGGGAAAAAATCTCTGAGCCGCAGGGAGAATAATATTGTGCTCTCAAGATTATCGAAATGATAAGATCACTTGATAACCAGAGGTGTAGTGCGTGACCTGTGACCTTTCTCTCCCCCCCCCCAGCCTTGGCACTGCCAACTGAGCTACACCATAGCTAATGTGACTGAGTGAAGGAACTCTGGTTTTTCTGAAGGGCAGCCCAAGATACATAATCCAGTTTGGGTGCCCATGTACACACTGCAGTCCTGGGTGTAGGCTACTGCCTAACCAAGAGCTAGGCAGTCCTAGGTCGGTCTGTGTGTGCCCTTCCCTCTTGTCTTGCAGGAGTGTCTTGGAATCCTGGCCTTGTTCTGTTCTGCTACTGTCCTTTAGATGCTGTTATAGGCGCTCAGGAAATCAGCCCTGAGTGCTCACTGGAAGGACGGATCCTGAAGCTGAGGCTCCAAGACTTTGGCCACCACATGAGAAGATAAGACTCCCTGGAAAAGACCCTGATGTTGGGAAAGATGGAGGGCACAAGGAGAAGGGGACGACAGAGGACGAGGTGGTTGGACAGTGTTCTCGAAGCTACCAACATGAGTTTGACCAGTGGAAGACAGGAGTGCCTGGCGTGCTCTGGTCCATGGAGTCACGAAGAGTCGGACATGACTAAACGACTAAACAACAACATAGGCACTCAGCTCCATGCTGTTGAGTTGACCCTTGGCTCTGCAGGCTGGTTTGAGGGTTTGTCCAAAGCCCTGATGTTGTCACAACATCTCTCCCACCTGTTGTCTTGCAACTTCTTGTTCACATCTCAACCCTCAAAACTGTACCCTGCCCATCTGGCTGGATTGCCCCAGCCCCTCTGGGCAGCATCCAAAAAATATAAACACATGATAAAACATCAAACTTTAGAAACTTTGCTGTACCTTTGCCTTCAGATGTCATCTAAAAGTCAGATAGTTGTTTATTTCCTTGACATCTGACAGAAGGGCATTCCACAGGGTGGGTGCCTCTGTGGAGAAGGCCCACTGCCTGGTTCCTTGTAACTTCACTTCTCGCAGTGAAGTAACCGCCAGAAGGCCCTCGAAGCTAAGGTTACCAGATTTTTTTCAATGTATCCAGGGACATTTTTTAAAAATAAACAAATAAATTATTTTTATTCATTTTGCAATACAAAAATATAAAAACACATAACACAATTTTTCACAAATACATTTTTTGGACTTCCCTCAGCTCTTCTGCAAATCCTCCATTTTAGTCCTTTTAGTCCCCTAAACTCCATTTAGTTCCGCATTTCTTAATCTAATATTGCCTTTTATTAAAAACCTCCTCCCTCTTATTCCCTTTTTTACAATATTTCTAATATTATTTTCACAGAGCCTCTTGCAAACCTACAAACGTTAATTGTTCATCGCAAATACTTTTCAAATAGTCTACAAATTTACTCCAGTCTTCAGTGAATCTGTGGTCTCGTAGGCCTCGGATCCTTCCTGTTAATTTATCAAGTTCTGCATATTCCATTAACTTCATTCTCCATTCTTTCATCACTTTTCAACTTCAATGGATTTTGTATGGGGACTGATTTGTAAATCAGGTAACTGTCCCTGGGAAACAGGGACATCTGGTAACCTTACTTGAAGCTGGATCTCAGTGTCCGGGCTGGACAACGGGGGTGGAGGCACTGCTTCAGATATACAGGGCCGAGATCTAATTTTTATGAGGGTATAATGTAATAATAAAAAACCACATGTCATTGGTATATACTAGAAGTGCCACGCAGTGACACGTATGAGAAAGTAATTTATCTCAAATATTTTCAGACATAGCATAGCTGTTGAAACTTTTTTTGCACCGACTTGGCCAGTTACCATATTTTGAATAGCAAAACAGAGGACACATTGGTCGACTTCT